ACTACTCCTGTTGGATATGCGACCTTTGCCTACTCTCTGGTCTTCACGTCTGCCGGTCTCCCACAACTTTCAAAGGCTGGACAGACCAATGAGATCTCTGCAGGCCGAGTGGGTGTTGGAGTTCCAACTGTCACATCAATGAATGGAGAAGCAGGATCTGCTATATTGTGGATGACAGGTGCGCCGTCACGACAGCATCAAAGAATGAACATACTAACACGTACTAGATCCTGATGCTGGCCTTCGTGCGTGGTATGCGGTGCCGCAAAACGGCGTTCTTGTGAACATTCCACTCCCACAGATTGGAGGTGCCAACAAGTTCCAACGACCCGCTTTCGGCGATGGAAGAGTCTACACTACCGACTCGAACGGCGTCCTCTACTGTCTTGGCTCTCCAGTCGCATTGCCACTCAACTGTACATCACCTGTCGACTTCGGTCAACTTGCTCTTGGATCATCAGCCACCGAAACCGTTACTTGTACTGCTCTTATCGCGATTACCAATATTATTGGCCTGGAGATCACTAGCACGACTTTCCAGGCAAGTAATGCCAGCTTGCCAACTGGTGCCCTGGCAAAAGGTGAATCGTTCTCTTTCCCAGTAACATGGAACCTGACCAACTCCAACGCCGCTAATGCGCAAAATGCTTCGTCTCCCGACGTTCAACCAGGAATCAAGAGTACGCCGTTGACAATTCTCACAAATAACGCAGTCGCGGGATATTCAACTTCATTCCCCATCTCTCTTACCGGCACTGAAGTTTCGCAAAGCCCGTATCTTTCGTTGTCCCCGGCTGTCTTGGACTACGGCGGAGTTGTTGTTACTAACCAAACCAATGTTCCTACACTAACAAGTATCCTCACGATTGCAAACAAGGGATTGAACCCTCTGACAATCAAGGGTTATGCGTTCACGGCTAATGAATTGGCCAACAATCCAACATGGACCAACAGTACTATGGTCAATGGATCATGGAACTTGGGGTATGGATTCACAGCATCCAACCTGCCAGCTGTCGGTTCCCAGATCGCCGCTGGCGTGTCTATTGCCGTCGACACGACTTTTGACGCAATCAACGGCACCGGACAATACCTCTCTTACTTCGAAGTCTGGTCTGACGGCGGTGCAATCAGCACCATTCTCGAAGGTGCAGCTTCAACAGCTCCTATTGCAAACTTTTCCATCAGCAATGGAGAGGGTGGATGGCTCCCACAGACCAATCTCATCATGGATTTTGGCGATGTGGCTCCTGGCAGCTCGTCAACACGTCAAATCCAGATATGCAACCAAGGTGGCTCTGCGCTTACGATTGATAAGAGTAAGCCCCCTAATGGTGTTTTCCATATCAGCGATCCAACGGAGTTGGAAGAAACTCAAGTCATTACTCCTGGAGCATGCGCTTATGGAACTGTTATCTTCACTCCCGATACTGAGGAATACAACATCCCAAATCTTTCTGAGAATAATACCTGGACCCTCAACGTCAACGATCTGACTTGGGGTGTCCATGTTGTCGAGATCACCGGAACAGTAGTTGATACATTCGTTGGTCCCGTCAATTCAACTGGACAATATGTGTACGAATACCTCGGATGCTTCCAGGAATCAACAACAGGTCCTCGTCTGTTCCCCAATGAGCCTTTGGCACCGAGTTCCAACAACACCAATGCCAGATGTCAAAATGGTTGTTACAGTGCCGCTCAGTATGCTTTTGCTGGAACAGAGTACGGTGACGAATGTTGGTGCGGCAATACTCCTCCCCCGCTTGCAAACCAAGATACAACGGATACCCTGTGTAACACTGCTTGTCCTGGAGATGGAAACGATCGATGCGGAGCAACAGGCTACATCTCTGTCTACTATGATCCAACAAAATATGTCGCTGGCACCGATCCTTCCTTGTATGGGCCACAAACTGTCAAGAACGTTGGTCCTTATGTCTATCAAGGTTGCTACTCCGAGGCCACCACTGGACGAGCTCTCAGTGGCAATTCACCGACAGCGCCATCTAGAGGGTTCACAATCGAGCTATGCGAGGCTGCTTGTATCGGATACACATACTTTGGCATGGAATATTCGAACCAGTGTTACTGTGGCAACACCATTGGAGCCGGAAGTGTGAATCAGACTTCTAGCGTCCCAGCTACCAATGGCTGCTCGATGACCTGTACCGGCAACGCCAAGGAGTATTGTGGTGGTGCAGACCGTCTCAATCTTTACGCGTTAAATAGCTCTGCCGCAACCTCTTCCAGCAGCAGTGCTGCCACCTCTTCAACTTCCTCGGCCAGCTCTGTGACTTCATCAACAGCGTCTGCTACCCCAACCGGTCCCATCACAGTTACGAGCCTCGCAGGATATAATTACCTCGGATGCTACAGCGAGGGTACGAATATCCGAGCACTAAATGGTCTCGAGAATCCAATCCCGGCGGCAAGTGTTTCAGTCGAGTCATGTGCGGCAGCCTGCTCCAAATACACATACTTTGGTGTTGAGTATGCTCAAGAGTGTTATTGCGGCAACACGATCAACACTGGATCTGTCAACCAAACCAGCAGTATTCCAAGCGTCTCTGGTTGCTCTATGGTCTGTAAGAACAATGCCTACGAGTATTGTGGCGGGTCAGACAGATTGAACATGTATCAGGTTGCGGCGGTATCGTCGAATTCATCATCTACGATTCTCAGCAGCACTGTCTCAACGTCATCGACGAGCTCCCTTTCAAGCACATCTTCAGGATCGTCAAGCAGTAGCGTTGTTTCAAGCTCAAGCTCAGTGACATCTTCCTCATCAGCTACTGCGAGCCCAACGCCAGCAATCAAGCAGGCAATTGGTAATTACGTCTATGCTGGTTGCTACACTGAAGGCACGAATGTCCGTGCTTTGTCCTCAAAGTCATTCTACAATTACACGGCAATGACTCTTGAGACTTGCTCGACTGACTGCGCCGGTTACACTTACTGGGGTGTTGAGTATGGTGGAGAATGCTATTGTGGCAACATCATAAACACAGGATCTGTCTTGGCAACCAACCAGGCTGATTGCTCGTTCATTTGCCCTGGAAACGAGTACGAATACTGTGGTGCCGGTAATAGACTTGAGATGTACAAGCTCTCTACATCGACCTCAAGCAGCAGCAGCTCAATTGGTATGATTCAAGATCTTTCCCTTTCACCAAAGCACGCCTTCTAATATTATTACTAGTCCCATCTACCTCCGCAAGCTCAACATCATCAACGAGCCTTTCAAGCACATCTTCCACGCTTTCGAGCAGCGTCTCAGCGACCTCCTCGTCGTCCTCAAGTGTGCTTAGCTCAAGTACTCAGTCGTCCTCCACTTCACAATCTTCAACCTCCACTTCGCAATCTTCAACCTCCACTTCACAATCTTCAACCTCCACTTCACAATCTTCAACCTCCACTCTAAGCTCAACCTCTTCTGCCTCCTCGTTGTCTTCCAGTCTTTCTTTTAGCTCGCAATCTCAAACATCTTCATCGAGCTCAAGCAGCTCCAGTTCAGTCTCATTGAGTAAGTCAAATCCTCCCAATACGACATTTGTTCAACCACTATGGATTGGGTAGGGGGTTCTACCCCTTTTAAAGTGTCCAAAGTCCGATCCAAGAACGGTCACTCAGAACTTGTGTCTCCTTTCATCTCGGACTTTCGTGGCTAACAGTTGATAGCTACGTCGGAATCGTCAACGTCTTCGACAATTTCGAGCACAGTCAGCTCTACCAGCTCTGTTTCGAGCCCGTCGTCATCATCTTCGTCTAGTGGTATGCTCATCCCAAACCCTCAAAATAGCAAGCAGCTAACAAACATCCCAGCAACAATCACGCCATCAAGCTCCTCCCTTTCCAGCACAACCACAACATCCTCCTCCTCAACCAGCAGCACCGGCCCACCACTCTTCACCGGCACCCCCAAAATAAACCAAACAATCAACTCCCTCGAATACATTGGCTGCGCACTCGAAGTATCCGGCCGCGCCCTCTCCGGAATGTCCTACTCCTCCTCCTCTATGACCATCGAATCCTGCGCCTCCTTCTGCACAAACAACAACTACGCTCTCTCCGGCCTAGAATACAGTTCACAATGCTATTGCGGAAATGGTATTTCCTCTGCTTCTAGTTTCGGACAGACGGGATGTACGATGACTTGTTCGGGGAATACGGCGGAGTATTGTGGTGGGAGTAATAGGTTGAGTGTTTTTAATAATACGGCTTTTGTTGCTCCTGCTGCGCCGACGAATTCGGGGAATTATATCCTTCAAGGTTGTTATCATGAAGCTTCTACTGGGAGACTTTTGTCTGGACCAAGCACGACAAACAGCACGGGAATGACTGTAGAGATGTGTACGACTTATTGTCAGGCTCAAGGCACGAATGGGGTTTATGCGGGAGTGGAATATGCACAGGAGTGTTATTGTGGTGCTAGTTTGCCGAGTACCGCGGTGCAGGAAAGTTTAGGAAGTTGTAATATGTTGTGTAAGGGCAACGCGAAGGAGTATTGTGGTGGAAGTCTGTTGTTGGATGTTTATTTGTATAAGGCGCCGTCAAGCAAGAGTAGGCGGGAAAGGAAGATGAGGATTGAGGAGTAGATTTGTGTTGGATAAAAGGTTGGGTGGTATCTATGTTGATATGTTGATATGTTGATATGTTGATATTCTGTTCTTTAGATGGGCGGATGGGTATTGGAGTATATGATAGAAGTTAAAGTAATTGGTATTGGTATTCCTACCTACTTTCGTTTTGCTATGATTTGAGTTATTATAAATAGAAAGCATTGTGAGCTCATGCTCAAGTATATACAAATCAAGTACAACTTATGCCTCGAAATTCATCCCAGACCCCTGTCCCATAGCCCCTCTTCAACTTTACTGTACTTGAACTTGACCGCTCTTGAAATTGAGTCGTATCCCATGAAGCTTCCCGAACATATCCCGCCCCCCTATCCTCCGTATAGATTGAAATAAACACAATCCTTTCCAACCAAATCAAAAGGTCCGTTGGCTTAATGGCAAAGCGCTTGACTTCGAATCAAGAGATTACAGGTTCGACCCCTGTACGGATCGTAACAACTAGTTACACCTTTTTTTTTTCTCTTTTTTTTTTTTTTTTTTTACATTTTCCCGAGCTTTCTTTCAAGTGTGACTCGGGTTGATGTATAGATCAAGCTCGGTGACACGTCCAATTCCAGAGCACCTTTCCATCACTATCATCCCCTTCACCTACTTCATTACTGACTTCTCCTAATAGGATCCACAATCGGCCACTTAAAGCTATGTTTCCCCCACACCAGATAAAACACCACACTAAAGATCAGTGACCCCCCAAACAAAAGACAACTCCAATTCATCGTCACAGGCGTAACCACCGCCGTCGCCGGCCAGAAACTAAAGAACAACGTAATCGCTGTATAAATTAATCCAACGACATTGACGATGGGACCGAAGATAGGACCCATGTGCCATGGCCCCCAGTGGATGTTGTCTTTCACGGGGTCTTTCCGGAGGCGTTTTTGCAGGAGGAGAGAGATGGGTATCATGTAGGAGAAGAAGAAGGCGGCGACGTTAACGGACATTATGGCGTTGAAGGCAGCGGTTGAGCCGATGTTGATAAGGGCGAGGAGGAGGGAGATGACTGTGCTAACTAGGATGGAATAGAGAGGGAGAGCGGTTCCGACGTGTACCTTGAGGGTTGTTAGTAAAGATGAGTGGGATGGGTGATGAATGGCGCTTACCCTGCTGATGTACTTGCTTCCTGGTACGCCATTGTCTCGGGCAAAGGACCAGAGGAGCCGAGAGGCTGTAGCCATGATTCCAATAGCAGCTGCCGCCATGAGAACGAGGATGATAGCTGTCATAGCAGTTGCGCCGGCATTGCTGTTTGTAGCTTGGACGAAGATCTCGATGAAAGGGAAGCCGGTGGGACTTGCGAGAGCAGCATCAATGTCGCCAAGGCAGAACAGAAGGGCGATCAGGAGAGCAAAACCCATGACTCCGTTCAGCATGATGGAGCTGAGCATTACTTGTGGAACGACGGTGGAAGCGTTGTGGATTTCCTCAGCTATGAAAACGGTGTCAGAATTTTGAACACCGTTAGGAGTGGAGTAGACTTACACATATGGCATGCAGAATCTGCTCCTAGGAAGGAGAAGACGCTGGTAATCAAGCCAACAAAGAAGGAGGTTCCATCAGTTGCCCAACCTCCACCGTTGATAAATGTAGCGAATACATCCTTGGCACTTCCATGTGGAGCTAGATAAACTAGAGGTATCAAAATGCCAAAGAATCCCAATATGTGCAGGCAGAGGATCAAGCCCTCGATCTTCGGGAGCCATCTTGCTAGGAAGGTGTTGATGAAGACAATGAACACAATAACGGCGTAGAATATAAGTGTTCCTTGCCATCTGGTAGGCGCGTAGTCGGGATGGTTCTGAATGGCGAGGGCCTGGATCATTGATGCAGCGATGAAGGCAACACTAGCTTGGCCAGCCTGCCAGCCAATGACAGTAAGCCATCCTGATTACATTATCAGTGATCGACACTGGTCTCTAGAAGACTTTCGTACCTGTTATATAGCTGAGGAATTTGGCCCATCTCGCTGGAGCAAGAATTGAGACCCAATGATATTGTCCGCCGGACAATGGCATCCTATAACGACCGTTAGTTCCAACACAAGCTTAGACAACACAAGATGCCATACATTGAGGCCATCTCAGCCAGTGAAGCGACTGTTGCCATTGTCCCAATCCAGCAGAAGATATATCCATAGACGAGGCCTGCTGGACCTCCATTCTGAAAACCGAAAAGAAAGACACTGTAATGAAGTCAGCACATTTCTGAAGAATTCAATCCGTGAAGAAACTTACGCAAACATGCCTTCCCATGTAGACAATAGACTGCAAACAAAGCCGGCAATCGACAGAAAGCCAAAATTTCTCTATTGAGTGTCAGCTTGGCCGGGCCTTCTGGAATTCATCGAAGAGATCCGTTTCTTGAATGATTTCAATCGTCTCTGCTTACCTTGAGCTGCTGCTTCTTGCCATAGTATGCCATTTCCTGGTCATCTCTGTTTTCACCACCTCTGCTGTCGCCACTCGTCTCTTCCCCATTCAATTCCGCCACTCCATAGCCTGTTAACTCAACATCTTTGTCGTCCATTGCGCCCATGATATAATGATCGCAGAATCTTCCACCTCAAACCGTGCAGAAACCGCTAAATCAACTGTGAAATGAATCTGGACGAAAAATTATTGAGAAGGAAGACAAAAAGGTGTGGGAAATAGAGGCCATCGAGGCAGGGCAAATCAACTTCCATCACTTCCCTTATCGGAAAACAAAGCCACTAAGCTCTAGCCCGTAGAGAGTCTGGAGCCTCCAGATATTGAATGACTAAAAAGAAAGAACTTCCAATCAGGAAGCCTGTTCTGGAACCTGAACATCCTCGGAGTTGCAGATAATGCGGGCGTACTGCCATCCAATCCAGGGTGCACAATGGCACAACTTAGGATAAATTACCTTCAAAAGCTTGTGAAAGCCATCGAACTATGCACCTGCTAGGGAAGCGAGACCTGCAGCACGGGAGAATATGGACCGTCCCGCTGGTGTTCCATTCTCGGGCTAGTACGCACGTGACTGACTCTAACCTTAAATGGACGAGGTTCAAGGAAGATCCGAAAGCTTTCATCCTTGAGCTCGAAAGAATACAGCAACAGTAAGATGTGGATGTCTTCACCTCATAAGTACCAGGAAACGTCAAGATCCCCTAAATTTCCCACTTATTCATGTCAATTGAAGCCTACAGGTCTGCGAAGCTGATCAGTGATCAAACATCAAAGTCCGGCTCCCAGGAGTTTTACTTTTCCTTGAACACCCCACGCTTAGCCTAGTCTCTAAGACTGGAGACAAGGATTTCGATAAGATTTCTGGACCCGAACTCAATGTGATGATCATGGGTATTCACCGAACCCTTTCGGAGGATACTCGTAGCTTTAGAGTTTCCTCTTTCTTTCAGCCTCGACTACTGACTTTCCGCCGTCCTATCTTGTTCTCTGCTTCAGCAACACTAGCGCTTACGGCTGCCCGCCAGAGAACGTGGAACAGCGTGGGACTGACCAGTGGCATGGCAGTTGAAGCCGTGTTCAGGGGTGCGATACACATGACCTGGTCTTTGGTCTGGACAAGATATCGGGTGCCCGCGAAAAGCAAATTTTGCTTGCATGGTCGAGGCTAGAATAAGATACTTGCAAATCAAGCATCCCACAGCTTCAAAAAGCGGCTCACTAGACCTTTGCATTGGGAGGATGTTCTATCCTTGGCTTTCAAAACCGAATCTGGCATGGTATCATATCACGACTTCATCACTTCCTTGTACCACATATGGGGCTGTAGTTTTGCATTACTTATTTGGGGTTCTTCGGATGACGTTACACTAGCATGATATGAGTATCAGGGGGCGTATTGTATGGCAAAACATGAGATGGACAAGAAAGGGCACCGCCATAAGCATGTGAAGTATTAGGCTTAAGTTTCCTGCTTCGTATCCTATCCTGAGTCTGATTCTACTGGGGAACTAACAGCTTCACATCGCGATGGCTCTGTCCGGACCAGAAAGTCACAGATTCAAGCATTACTTCAGCATGTTTTTGTCGCGGCAAGTGGTAATATCAGATGGGAATGAAGGACCAATAGTCAACATTGCTGCATGGCTTGGCATGACTATCATGATATTGTGTGTCGGTACCCGATTTTTCTCGAAGTACAGCGTTGCAAGACGACTTACACTCGACGATGCCTTGATTGGAACTACTACTGTGAGATAATCCTACGAAAAGCTAGCAGGAGAGACTCATGCTTACTTGGCAGATCTTTGCGATTGCACATACATACTCAATATCTCTCATGGTCGCGAATGGACTCGGAAGACCTCAGCAAACATTGAACGATGACATGATTGTAGATTTTGAAGAGGTATGTACTGTACTCAAGTCCTATGATGAGGATAATGTCTAACGTTTTTTCATAGTATGGATATGTTTCTCAGATGATGTACATTCCCGCTCTTTGTCTTGCAAAGCTCTCTACCCTTGTATACCTCAGAGCTTTGTCACCTGGCACTCCCTACGCTCATCTCAACCTTGCTATGGAGTTATTCATCATACTTTGGGCTCTCAGCGCCGAGGTTGTCATCGGATTTCAATGCAGTCTGCCAACTCCTTGGGCGATTATTACGACGAAATGCTTCAACATGATTCCATTTTGGAATACAATCGGTACCTTCGACATCATCACGGATCTTGTAATCATTGCACTACCTATACATCTTGTATGGTCCGTTCAAATGCCTCGGGCGAAGAAGCTGCTGGTATTTATGATCTTTGGAACTCGAATCCTGTGAGTTAACAATCGCCTTGCCTGGAACATTGATGCTGACTCCTACCCAGTATCACCCCACTAACGATCATGCGAATGTATTTCCTCAGCACAATCAGCTCCCCATTACTTCCAGACCAAACACTCACTTCCTACCACGCCTACCTAGCAACTACAATTCAACTGAACTTCGCGGTCTTCGTCGCGTGTCTTCCCTTCCTCAAACCCTTCATAGAAAGCATGTCCTCCGGCGCATTCGCATCAACCCTGGAGCCAATGGACAGCTCATACGGCGCCGGCAGTCAATTCAGCACATTCATATCCGGTAGCTCCAGTCGAAAAGCATCGAAACCAAAGGGAAGCTTCAAGATGGGCAGCATGTTCACCGACTCACGAACTTCACGCCCTCGAAATATCACCGACATGGATGCAAACTCCCTTAGCCTGCCAAGCAGTCCTCAACACGATCATAACAAGTCGCCTAGATTCCATTTCGGTTTGGCGGGTAACTCGCAAGGGGATTTGGGTACGTTGAGGTCGGATAAGGTTACGAGTTTTAGCTCTGTTGGACTAGCGACGCCGGAAGGGACTTCGGCGAGAAGCTCGATTGGAAGTGATAAGATGATTATCAAGCGTACGAAAGGATGGGAGGTACGGACGACGTATGAGTACGCACAACCGTCGGAGTATGGAGACGG